GTATGGGTTGCTATCTCAAACCTAACAAGATTCCTTCATACCGGGAGACGGCCCGAGCTGAGGCACGAGTATCCCAAGAACACTTCTTGTCCTGCAGGCTTACTACCTAGCAGCTACGGTAGTTTATGTAACTCTACCTGTTATGATACTTATAATATTTATACTTAGTATTATTGAACAATAGTTAGACCTGTCAAAGGAATATCTAGGACGCATGAAGTATGTATGATGAGCTGAACGTCTCGACCACCCACTACCACGCAGCAATCTTATGCATAGCAGGTTTAATGAAGAACAACGCTATCAGCATCTGGTTCTATCGCATCACAATCTTGTCCCACGTCGTCGGAGATCTGGAGGCTGGAAACAAGTATTACGGTGTGATGCGTCCTAGTCAGATATTGCGGTACACAAAGATGGGGATGCTTGAACGCTGTCATAAGGGTACATATCAATGCCGTACGCGCATCCGCGGGGGGTAGCATAGCTGCAATACTTTAGCCTTGATTTCTTCTACCCGTCTTGGTAGGACTCAATATTAGCTGACCGCCGGTCTAGATTCGTGACCCAAGGATTGGCAGTAGGCTATCTACCTAGGCACTCATCATCGGGCTGAGAATGAGTACCTAACCTAAGATGTGTTATTTGCTTAGTCGCTCAGGGGGGCATTATAATCGATTACTCTATGCATGGCAGTCAGCGTCACCTCCGGTATGCAAGGCCGTAGTGGAGAAGACTATCAATCATACAGACAGACGGACAGGCAGATGGTGGCATGATCTAGATGATACAGCGCTCCTGCTTACAAGCTACGTCTTCTTGGCCGTCCGTCCGGGAACACCTGTTTGTTCGGTAGTCTACCTATGTAGTAGCACGAAGTCTTTAGAATGAGCGGTCAACGGCGCGGCCTTACTTACTCGTGGGCGTTTTCTGTTGTGTTTCCCTCGTGCCGCACTATTGCTTGCGCATTTTCCAATTCGAAACCGAGGAGTATAAATACATAGTGGCGACGAGGCTATCTTTTCTGTATCATACGAAGGGAGGAAAGAAAACGCCCACCTGTTTACGTATAGGTAAGCACGGTACCGACTGACAATACATACCAGGCTTACAAGCTGCAGGACTATGCAGGGCTGCAGGTAGGTAACCCATCTTATAGAAATGGGTCTTTAACAAGGCTTTGTTTTGTGTATTACCACATGGCACGCATGGCGAAACCTTCTAGCCCCCAATTCAAGTCCAAGACGGTAACAGCGCAAGGGGAAAGAAAAGACGAAACGACACTTTGAGATTAAAGTTTTACCAATAATCTGGAGAAAGGGACGGCGCGGTTAATTAGACTTTCGGGCACTCCCGTCTGGTGTTACTATTTGCGTTCTCTAGTAAGCTTCTAGGGGTATTCTTTCAATCATTTACTCCTCGTACGGCGACCAATAAACATCGTTGACACCACTCCAATTTTTCTGCTGTGTTCGGGTCGTAAAAAAAAGGGGGGGGGAGGGAGAGGAGGGGAAAACCCCAAGCCGGATATTTATTTATTTTTTCTGACCCCCCCTTTTCCCAAACGATGGCAATAAAACAGGGAAAATGGGATATTCTTCTAGGCTCGGGGCTCAGCCGCACACGTTGCAACGGCAGGCTTATCTCATCTTCTATTCCCACCCTGATAGAAAAAAAGAAAAAAACCCAAGGCTCGTAGGGCTGTTATCGTCGCGCCTTCGAATATGAATATGCCTCATGCGCTTCTCGTCCGTCAGCACCTAAAAAGGATTCGGGAACAACGCGGCTATCAGAAAGACATCGGCTGATAACTCCGAACTCCCTCTGCGCTCTGCGACGCGCGCGTCACTATCACTTATTAGACTACCTAACGCTTCGCGCTTAAGACGGGATAATATATAATATAGTTATAATATTGAAAAATGATAGTATAACGTAAACAAGTAAAATGAATACCTACGTAACTAACCTACCTCTATCTACATATAATTTAATTTTTACCCAAGTAGTTATAGGGCATTATATCAATTTATATTATCTCTTGTGTATACTTACTCCCTTTACTCTCGACTCTTCTTTTCCTTTTCCTTTTCCTTTCCTTTTCGCAATCCGGCAATGCGATGCCGTACTCCATCACGGTGAAGCATCCGGCAGTCTCGAAAAAGGGGCGGGGCAAATAGTTTATTTTATTTTATTTCATGTATGTTGTATGCGGGTCGCCATGTTGGTCGCTCTCCGCCACGACCCTACACCCGCATGCATGGATGCATGCATATGTAATGTATGCACCTCGTCCTACTATTTACTATTTACATGATGCGGGCCGTATTCGTTTCTCCTTGATGGGTTCTGTGGCACGCCGGCGCAAAACGCGAATACCGCCGTCTTGTTTCTAATACATAGGTAGGTAGACTGACACATAAAGCAGGCTTTGATGCGGAAATTATGTATGTTTGGCGTGTGTTTTACCCCATACGGATGTTGCGTAATGCGTGAAAGTTGAGAAACAACATTACATGGACCCAACATGCATAGCTCATACCTACATACATACACATACAAAGCCCATCGCATCGTCCGTGCAGCATGTTTCGACCGTGTTCTCTCCGTGGCGCAGTTAACGTCACATGCAAGTACATACACATATACCACTTACACTTTACCATCAAATTTACATACCTAGCAGCCACCGTCGAAGAAATGTGAAGGCCACACGTTAGAAGCAGTATGGCATATGGCATAAGGCATGTAGCAGCGCTCGGCAGGTCCTGGCGATCCCCCACATTTGTCCGATAATAAACGACCAGGACAGATTAAAAAGCGAAAAAAAAGCAGAAACGGAGAAAAGATAGCCTAACTCAATAGAGTACCTACCTAATCCGGACATGATGATGACGAGATCTTCACGGCAGACGAATTTGTCTCCTATGCGATACATATTGCAACGGACCTGATATTCGCACACGCACGAACACGCGACTAGGGAGCCATGTCGCGTATTACATACATACATCTTACCGGGCGAATAGTTGGTTATAGGTAGGTATATATATCAGCACGCGGAGTTCCGTATAAGGCGTTGTTTATATTATACGATCGACACCATATAGTACAATAGGTTAGGTTAGGTAGGTAGTAGGCCCGTAAGAAATCGCAGACCGAAGGGTGGATTCGGTTTAGATAAACATAGTAACTTCACTGGTAACGAGCCCTGCTATGCTAGGTTAGGAGGTATCTAAGCTTGGTATCCCATTACTTCGCAGCCGTGAGATCCAACACCCCCAAAATTGAAACCGATCTGCCGAGTTCCATCGGCGCTGTCCCTTGCCATGTGTTTCCGGATGGGGTTCGCAACTCCGGATAGATTATGTAGATGCCCTTCTCTTCTTCGACTGTGTCTGTGCGGCCGCGGCCGCACCTAACGGGCCACGTGCTGTGGTATATCATAAGAGGCAAAAAAGAACTTGGGTAGACTTGTGGCTTTCGTCTCGTTGCTGACGCGCATGCTACTAGATCATTAAGGGCTTACTACTTGGTCTGTGTCTGTGCTAATAACGGAGGCTGGCGACAGGAAAGGCAAGTCCAAAACATCCCAACGGCCGAGTTGAACGGCGCAGCGCATGTGATAGAGTGTTACGTTTCTCTTGCGCCCATGCACGCCCCACGCGTTGGAGCCTAACGAAGGGAACAACATAGTAGTGACACATGTGGCTTATGAACTTGATAATGTTCAATTAACTAGATACTATTGTCACTTCAAACTAAACAATGCAGGGGGGAGCTTTTTGATCATTTCATGCCGGCGGTGTTTGATAGTTGCCTCCAGGGCCACCGCCGGTACGACTCTTTTTATCCAGCATCTCATGCCACATAGTTGGTACTTGCGCAGCAATGTACCCCCTGTGCGGCTCACCATCACTCATCCGGGGAATCTTTCGTTCGCACCGGGAGATCCGGATGTAGTGAGACGATGCTACAATTTGCCGCGCATCATTCCTAGCCCTCTATCCCTTGTAAAAACAACCTACCTCCCTTCATCAACTGCTATGGCCGCCTGCATGTCTACCAGAAATTGGTAGGGCGGCCGCGTCGCGCACCTAACTCGGCGCGGCGCTTAGTCAAGTCTCTGGGAGAGGCGTTATTCCGAGGGATGAGCTGATGGATCTAGTAATGTGCGGACAAAGGCGGCGGTAAAGGGCTCCGCATTTCCCTGCTCAGCAAGGATTTCCTAATTATGCCCAGCTTCTTTTGTGTGATCGTGAGATCTTTCCCCCCTCGCTTTCAGGTCCCGGCCGTTGCGTTCCGAATTGCTTACCGATCTTGCCACGGCGCAACACAGAATTCGCAAGAGGCCTTGGCATGCTGACAACCAGTGTCTGCCTTGGGGAGCAGTATCTCGGATGATCTGCTTCGATTTCGGTTTCGATGCGACGTGTAGAATCGACCGTGTAAGATGCAACTATGGGACTCAATCCCTTGCATCTTCCATTCGAATAATCCATTGTCGCTTGATGGGATTTCTTGCTTCGAAGAGAAGGTTCAACATCAAGTTGAATATGGTCCTTGTCGTCGGGGAAGTCGTCATTAAGCTCGTAGGAATATTCGTCATTAGGTCGTTCATTAATCGTAACACATGAAACCGAATCCCGGGAAAAGAAATAAGAATATCTCCTGAAGCGAGGACGCGAATCAGAGGGCCGAATCCATCGTCCATGGTTTCGCGGTTGGTTAATCGGGGTATCTTTGTCTAAGAAAGCCACTTTATGCCGTATAACGAGAGGAAAATAAAAATGTGGTAATCGAAAAACTTGTCCTGTCCAGGTCTTTGCCGGGCGATGATCGGGTGCATTGCTGCGTATACCTCTTATTTTAACGTAGAAAAGGAAAATCCAGCCTCAGATATCTCGAGGCCCTGCCCTACTTGTAAATGCGATCAGATACCCACCGAGTCCCAGCCATGTGGTGAAAAAGAAATACAGCCTTGTGACCGAGCTGGCGGTTGTGACGATGTGAGGTATACCCTATAAAAACAGACGCTCGCTATCCAAACATGAAGAGAGAAAAAAAAGAAAGAAACCCCGAGATTATTATATATGCCAAAACGGTCGAGAAGTTCGTTCCTGATCGATGCAAAACGCCGGGATGCACTGGGACGCGATGAGATCTATGCTGCAGATGTCTTTTTCGAATTGGAGGAAACGAGAACCGAAATCACCATCTGAAGTCAGAGCGCTGCTAAGAGGTCGTTACCACTGGCAGGCGATCCCCCGTGGCAGGCGGTGATTGTCATATGGTCGTCGTATACTCTTGATATCGATCCCAACCGAAACCGCCATATCCAACACCCACACCGCACTGCGACGCTAACATGCTGGGAAGCGGCAGCGCCGGAATCGGAGCCGTCACCATCGGCGAACTGTAGAACATTCCGGCCGTGGAGTACGGTTGGCTGTACGGTATGCCCGGCGAAGTCACTTGAATATCTTGCAACGACATATTGGCCCATATCGGTGCGGTTGATTCTACCGAGGTAGAGTTGGGACTGGAGGGTAAAACCCTCCATGGCTCAACCGGGGCAGGCATGGCAGGCGAATGCATAGACTGCGACCACATGTTCGCGCCCACTGGTGAACTGGGTAATAATGGCGGTTGGCGGACGACATCGACGATCTTCGGCGGTGGCGGTAGTAGCGGTTTATTTATCAATCCCATAATGTTATTCTTAACCTCCTCACTCTTCCCACATAATAACTCTCCAGCACCCTCCTCTTCTAAACCCTCGAGGGCGGAAACATGAGTTCTATAAACGAACTTGTTAATAGCCTGGACGAAGTCTTCGTGCAATTTCTTGGCGTGTTGCTCCTTCTCGGGCCAGTCGTAAGTATCGGCCTTAGCGTTGACGCAGTAGATATCCTTGTGATATTCGATAAGAGATTCTATCGAGTCAGGCGTCAACTTATAAGCGACTTCATTCCGCAATACCATATCGACATGAACAATATAAGCCTCGACGTGTATTAGCTGATAGTTGAAGAGAGCCTCTATTAGCGGATTAGAATCCTTGCGCAGGTCGGACTCGGGTGCCTTGGGTAACATCAACGACGCCAAAGTCCAGATGGCGTTTGGCGATGAGAGCGTCTCGGTCAAACATCTTTGGTGTTGCGGTATGCTGTTTAACGGCCTCTTGACTCTGTTGATGCGCTTTAGGGTTTGTGTTAGCCAAGGCTCGACTTTAGAGCCGAGGACAACGTTGACGGACGAAGCTCGCGGCGCAAAAGCGGCGGCCGAAGCCGGTAACAGTTGTGGGGGCATTGTTGTATAGTACTGTAAACTCCGGAGGAGGACAGAAGAAATGCGACAAGGAATATCCAAAGATGGTGGAGAGCGCTTGCGGAAGAGAGGGGGGTCAGTGAGATGGGAAAGACGAATAATAATAATAAAAAGACGGCACAGAAAAACTAGGCGTTCCCAGGACTGGGAATTAGCGCGTACGCCTACGACCGCAAATAAGAAGAAGAGAACGGTGGACGAGTAGCTCGTGAAGAAGAAAGAGGAGGGTGAGAAAACTCGTGTTGTGGGTGTGGGGGTGTGTTATAGTAAAATCCTCTTGGTGCTCTTGTTCTTTGACTTTTTCCCCCCCCTTCTCTCACCCTCGGCGCGCCGTGTACAATATAATAGTATATCGATTTTCTGTCCCCTGCACGCCCTCTCCAATCCCTCGGAGCATTCCTAGCTGGTAATGGGATGGTATGGGCCATGCGGGCAGGCCTGGTTTCGTACGGTCTCCCATGGTGTGTCCACTGTCTTGCATTAGGAACCACCACCAACGCCAGGTAGGCTGGTAGGTCAGGTAGGTCAGGCAAGTCAGGTTAGGTAGCGCCAGGTAGCATCCGCAGAACGAGGCAACGCAGGGCAGGCATCAGAATAATCCACCGATACCACGGCCGACGCACCCTAGTCATGCGCGGCAAAAGAGGAGCCATCGTCGCACTGAACTTCTTCGAGTGGGCTGTGTATGCGACTTGCATATGCCCCAAAAGAAGAGGAGAGCAAATGGGAGAAGTAATACTGAACGACCTGAGCTGAAAATGCTGCAGGTGTGGCCAGTGCAGCGCCACTAAACTCTACCTAGCCTCTAACCAAACTCGATTTCCAGGCCACATCTAAAAGTACCGGTACAATACATACAAGCGGACGTGGGAACCCTCCTTGGGAAAGAACCCACCAACATGCCTACAGCCCAAAGTCAAAGTTAGGTACCCATGTACTTGACATATGTCAATTTGAAGGTTGTTTCCTTTATCCGGTACATACATCCTTCAATACCTCACATGCACACTCAATTAGGAAACATCAACTGTTTCTTGTTTTTCTTAATTATTTGATTTTTGAATTTAGATGTTTGGGTACGTTACCTTTAGCCTCGTTTGATGTGTCTAGGTGGGTTTTGTCGTTATGAAGCATCCCTTAAGAGGTAGTTATGAGTAATTGTTAGCATTAACTAGTTCTCTCGTCCCGCTTCATATCACTTTAATAATGTCACGTAGTAGGAAAAAAGCTCCGTAAAAATGATTTATAGTCTAGAAAGTCGTATGTCTAATGCCTATCTAGGTTGGTACATCTGTTTCATCCGAGAAGAGGTACCGATATCGTCACTACTCATTCATCGGCCCATCTGCAATGGAACTAGTTCCATATTGGACTTTGGAATATTAAATCCCATTCCCTCGGTGATTCTTTTGAGATGTGATATTCATACATTAACGTCGCATTGAAATAATGAATAAGCACACTGTCGAATCTAGAAATGTGATAACGCTGTTAGTCCTAGACACTAGATTAGAAGCACGTTGCAGATAATAAAGCACTATATACTAATTACGAGGTCAGCCTTTCCCTGCATGAACTTCTTGAGCAAGCTGCAGCTCTATCTAGTACCGAAGGAGCCTTGTTGTTGTAGTCATGCATGCTGCTGAGCGCAGATGACCTAGAAGCCCATACGGTAACCAATGCAGTAGCCAGTTAGATTAAAAGAACGTGCCTCATAGATCATCGATATGAAAGGTCCAATTCGCTGTTAGGAGATCAACCAAAGCTCTTGGAACATCTCTGGAAATTGCCGTATCAATGCAACTTGCCGCTTTCTATTCATCGGAAGTAAGTTGAAACTGATTAAGAAATAATTGGTAAACATCGCTTGATATTGATCGACTGATGGTATCCCTTTGATAATAGATACACCCTTGCTGCCAACCAGTAAGAGTCCCCAACATCCCAGAGCTGCATTGCGATGCTGCTATATTCTGGGGCAGCTCCTGATGACTTGCATACGAGTGAGGAGATAACGTGAAGCATCGCCACCTCAGTAAATAATCTGAAACCTAGTAAGTAAGCTATATGTATGCCTCGAAGAAGGAGAAGAAGATAACTAGCGCTTGACCAAAAAGTCTCTTCCCTTTCGAGTCAGATGCAGAAACGACACTCGCCTCGGGCTTCTTGCCGGTCGGTCCTAGAGGAAGAGATGGATCCGCCGAGCGTTGTGTCTGGGGTACAGAATCCATAAGCAGAATCCATAAGCCGAAGAACCGCAATCGAGGACGAGCAGTCTTGTACGCTCACAGAGGCGCTTACAGCGTCAAGCTAGTCGATGGGGCATACATGAAAATGAGGCATCACAAGATAAGGTCCAGATTGCGGGTGTATATTACTAGATGGGGACGAAGAGAAAAGAGCGAGCAAGTCTGACGAGAGCTAGAGCGATGTCGATATTGAATGAGAACCAGTCGATGGCATATGTCAAGGTTGTAACCCATGTTAGTGGCAGAAGGTGAGTTGAGGTGTGTCGATGTAAATTAGCTGTTTTGGGTTATTATTGGTTAATTCATGCGAACCGGAAAAGTATTGAAGTGGAGAAAGTTGATTCGAGGTTGAATTTCCATTGGCTATAAAATGAGAAGAATCAGGGAAGCACCACGATGATATTTCTGGGGACCTCCAAGTCTAGATTTGAGCGAAACGGAAAATAAGGATAAGAACAAGCGAATGATAATTCGAGAAAAAAGAAATTCAATTCGTGTTTCATGAAAGGAGCCTCAGATCCCCAGGGGGTTTAACAAAAGGGGGAACATCTCCAGCCTCCTATCTGTTTACTTCCTCATCTGGAATATTACCATCACCCTATTGCGGCACCGACTAAGACTAAGCTTAGTTCCCGTTCCGGAATATCGGCCTTTAGTTACACTGAGAGTCCGGATCGACCCTTTAACAGATTATATATTAAGGTCATCGGGGTCCTTCGATCGTATCGTGACCTGGCTGATAGAGGAGCCCGCCGACTCCTGAGATCCACTAGGCCGATCTTGAGCGAATTGAAGCTTCGTCACGTCGACGTATGCCTCATAAAGGACAGCCTACTGTTGGACGAAGCCGCTCCTACATGTATAACATCCTTGAGTTTGATTATCATGAATTGGCCCATGTTACATGATCGAGTAATGCCGAATCTAAGCTTCCAGCAGAGAATCAGTCATGTGGCCCGAATTCGAGACGCTCTCAGCCGAGAGGAGACAGGATCAACAAGGCCACCCCAAAACCGATTGGAGCTATCTGTTCACCTGTTTCGGTCAGTAGAGATATGATACAGATAATTCGATTGGCTGAAAATATGATAGTTGAATGAATTTTGATGATTGGTAAAGGAAGCAAAAGAGATAGAATTCTCGGTTGCAAAAGTCACTTGACCGTCAATGCCGATGTGGCTCGTGCACACCTTGTCGTGGTCCGTGCATCTCGATTCTATCTTAATCCCAAGTACCGGTACGTATCCAAGTTTCTTGCGCATCGGCAGGCTAGCAACGGCCTCTCCGTGGTCCACAATTCCGTGCCTTGCCGCCTCACTCCTTTTTACATACCTTTTTTATAGTGACAAGCCACGTCGCTTCTAAATTCTCCGTGCAAGGTTCTTCTTGTTTGCCTGTCTACAGATCGCTTCATGACGTCCCGTCGCGATGGATCCCGTCATAATGGATCTTCTCGGGAGTACATATGGAGATTCAAGTTATCTCCACTAACATGCGCTTCTTCACGGACCAACAAAAGCCTATTAGAACCGCGAGGTCGGGGCACAAATGAGAGGCAACCAACCCAATGGAGATGTTTCCATGGTCTGCCTCGTCTATACCATCTACCGTGGTAAGATCCGAGAGCACATTTTCGTGCATTAGGTATATCCGCTTACATGCAGGTCAATGGTTCTATAATACATTGGTGGAGACGTAGATGTAAGAGCAGCCGCCAGGTCGATTAAGTCAGCGTCCCTTAAAGCCGTCACGAGCTTCACGCGGCCAGTTTACGAGGGCGGTATTAACCCTTTCTAAGACGAGACGCGCAATGGCGATATCATTAGAGGAACGATGGCCAGTAAATTCCATTGCATTAAAATACTATAATGCCTATGTAGTCATTGTACGTTGGCTAAGAGCCAAGTCGAGGCTCAACGTGGTCTTTTACTTACCTAAGTGAGGTACCTCGTAAATCCAGAAGCCAGAACACGTCTTCAGGTATTCCTATGGTTACCAAGTTTTCATTTTCTTAATTAACTAGCCGATCTCGAAATAGCGCAAGAGAATATGGAATCATAAGATCGTATTAACTATATGCAATAATAGAATACTAATAAGGAGTGCCCACATGATGATGAATACATGTGAAAATAGACTCGATCTCTATCGCTGTGGCGCAAGCTCGGCATTAAACGAGACCCTTGCTTTTCTGTAGTGTAGAGATACACTATACTAGCGCGGTAGTTCACATCTACGGTTCCACACAGATAGTGTATGTAACTAAAAGTTACATGTTACCAACTTGTGGAAATTCCAACAGTAAGGGCATGTATGATAGGCATCCCGTGACGAAGAATCCTGCCGAGTTCCCAGGCGAATGGATAGGCATTATCCTGATACATGACCCTTAAGGTGATCCTCACTAGAATAGTCGGTTCAAATCCATGTGAAGCTGAAAAAGACATACATATATAGGTACGTACCTCCTAAAGTTAGTTTTCATATGCGGGGACCTTGTCGATCCATAAACCCCCCCTTACCCCCTCCCCTCCCCCCAGTCAATTCTTTTTTTTTTTTAGTAAGTAGTGTACGTACCTAAGGCTGGACCCTGGGGAAATGTGGCTGTGCTTAGTTACACAACTCTAGATTCCACGTTGCGACCCGCCAGCACATCACAACGTTACTTATTAGCCACACCTGCCGCCGGTACACCGACTCGACAACTCAACGATCTTAGATTTCTCGCTTAGTCTCCACCGCATTTAACAGATTCGAACCGGATAGAGCATCTTCCTTGTGCATGCATAAGCGAGGCCATGACCTCATAGGGGATTTACACCTT